AGTGAGGCACACTGAACAGAAGTCTAGTGATGATTCAACTCGGTTCTCACAGGACCACAAGCAATGAAAGCCCAGACAAGCGAAGTGACCTCCTCTGAGACACACAGCAAACTAATGGTAGAGCCGAGACTAGCAATGAGCTCTGCAGTTCATCTGATCCTTTTCCTAGCAAATTCTTTTTTTTCGTCTCATTGAGTTTATTGATACTTTTTAGGTATACAGTACGGTTACATTCATCACCTAGCAAATTGTTAAGGCCTTGTTACACAGAAGGAGAATGAAACAGGTTGCTCTTTCTGTTAAAAGTTCCATGTGATTCTCTCAATTTGGAGTAATCTCCCTGAGTTTAAACCATCTTTCTCCACATGTCCATAAAACAACAAATTTGTCTGTAGCTAGGTAGAGGAAAAGCAGTGAGGCTGGACACCCAGGGCCAAACAATAGGAGCAAAAACTCCTCCTGACTGGAGCAAAAGGATTAAAGAAGGTCATATGCCAAAGATCAAGAATAACACCATATTGTCAGGGACAGCTGGAGCCAAACGGTCAGAACTAACTGGTAGTGGTGAAAACCTGATTCTATTTCTCTAACGCTGTAATTACAACCAGGGAATGGGCGCGGGATGTCTATCACCACTCTTTACTCCCCAGAATATTTTTAGTTTGACCGAAGCCCACTTTTATTTTGATCTGTTCTATCTTGGGATCTTAGCACCATTTATACTTCATGTTATAATCTTCATAATTACTTTGAAGGGAAATTTAATTCATTCATATCTGATGCCCACAAAAGTTAAATTTCAGTCATTTTCTATTTTTAAAAGATGGGTCTGTTATAAAAACAACTATATTTGAGCCAAAGCAAACAACAACAACAACAAAAACCCCAGGACACCAGGTCAGAACCCATCAAATGCTGTTACTCTGAAAACTCTCGAAAAATTCTTTCACTTATTCATCCCCCCCCATCAATAATGAGGGTTGTACAAACTCATAAGAATAAAACAAAAAACCTAGATGTGAAAAAAACACTGAATTGGAAGGGGCCCTTACTGATGGGTGAACCCCAGAACTTCCCAGCTTTCCCTGGTCCTCTTGAGGGAGGGAAGGCCTCCAACAATCCAAAAAGGGAAAGAGGGGAGAAGACAGAGAAACAAATGCACACCAAAATGAGGAAACGTACACATATCCCCCCAAAACGAGCATTCAGACTGCTTGTCAGCTGGCTTCCTGACAAAGCCACGAGAGTGTATTCACAGGCATTTGCATAAATGCTGCCGGTGAGTTCACCATCACTGCTAGCGCTAATGGTACATAAAGTAATTTAGTCACTTCTCCCGGCATTCTGTGTCAGGATGATGAGCACCAGCACTTTGCCTTGTTGCATATTAGATCATTAGATAATAAAGTGTTAGTGCATGCAAGCTGACAGGGTCTCCGCACTCTCGCGTGGTGAGGGCACCACATTTTGCCACAGGGGAAGAGAGAAACTGATGCCACAATTGGCCTTAAAATCAAGCAAACACAACCTGAAACTTAAGAAGAACAGGAATGGCAATAACAACACTCCTCAGCTCCTCCAAAGCTCCCTAGCGTGCAGTCCTGAGTTCCTGGAGGATGAAGCAAGCATACACACCGGTGCTGTCCATCTCTGCGGGCAGCCACAATGCAGCTCCCTTGGTCCCAAGTTCCAGCTTTTTCAAAACTTGGGAGCCTGAGTGCAGTTACACTGTAAGGTTACCTCTATCTGCAACTGCGCATCTTCCATAAAGCAAGGGCTTAAAGAAGAAACCTCACTAAATGCTCCCATAAATATCCAGCCAGAGAAAAGTCCCAGTATTTATGAATGAAGAAAATGTGAGCAGGGAGGGGGGAATTACCATGAGCTACTTCGTGCCAAGATTCACCCTCATTAGGCCATGCAAGTGTCTATGAAAACATTTGCCTTTGTCAACCCTCATATGTGAAATCCAGGGACATTTTTCTGAGCATGGGGGCTTTGAGCCCATGGGTCACTCAGGGAAGACTGCGTGAAATGTAAACCATGATCTTGTCTCCACTTATACACAGAAAGAGAAGCCGTGAAAGGAACTTTCCTCCAACAGTCTGACGAGCAGGATATAAATAGAGATGTGCAGAGTTGCTCAAAATAATTTAGGCTACCTGTAAATGAGGTGGTAAAAGCCCAGAAGAGGGGAAAATGAAGATTGCCGCAGGTCTCCAGGGGTGAGCATGCTTTGCAGACTCTGTGTGGTAGCTGTCTGAACCGAGGGTGGGAGTGAAGAGACAGAGGGGTGAATGATTCAGAAACAGGACATTTTAAAGTAGGATGTTCAGTGGTGAGATCCAGCATCACTCTCAAAGCAATATGAGTTAGAAACTAGGTCCACTCCCACACATTACCAGGGAAAGAGTTCAGGAATTAAGTTACTCTTTGCTGAGCAGATGTTTATGTATCAGCTTGAAGTGTCTAAAAGAGTGGGTGGTTACGTGTGGTTGGTTGATTCACTGCAGAGGAATGGATTTCTGTGTTACAGTACAGTCACTTCATCATTACTAAGGATCTAAATGTGTCTACCCTTTCATTCTACTGGCGAGAAGTAAAGTAAGGCTTTGGGGTGAACGTAAAGACCCCAGCTGAGGGACATGGGACATAGTCAGGTCCCCAACAATGGCTAACTATTCATATGTGATGAAATGTCACCATTTCCTTAAGAAAAATTGTAATATGACTATTGTGGGCTGGAGCAAAGGAATAAAGCACTGCCATTAAAATTTGCAATAATACGCAATCCCAACTGAAATATTCATATGTTCTCCTAGCAAGGAGAATTCTTGAGCTGGGAGAACATTCAAAGCTGTTTTCAATGAGACTCTCAAGTAGCCTGTGATGTGTCCTAAGTGTCCTCTCCCTCTCAGCTTCCTTCAGTGCTCATACTTTTTGTAATTATTTATGAAGAATTAAAAATTACAAGGTGTTAATCCTTACCCAACACCCGGCCGCAGTGGGTTCTCTTTCCTTACCAACACTGGCTGGGGCTGGGGCAGCAGAGCATGCACTCACTTGGCTTAACAGCCTCCACCCAGCCCACTTCCCTTATCAACAGTACCTGCTCCCACCCAAACCGAAGATTTGATTTTTCTTTTTACAACCCTCAGCTTACCTTCATTTAACCAAAACAGAAGCCTCTATATAGCTAAGAGGATTAGTCCAAGATCACAGAGGCCAGAGTGAAATGAAGAAGTGAGTTTAGGTTTCGTGATACCTATTTCAAGACTTAGCCCTACACATTACATTCCAAAATAATGCTATCCACACCCTAGACATATTCTTTCTAGCAGGCTATATTTTATTGGTTTGCTTTGGATGTTGTTGCTGTTGTTGTTGTTGTTGGAGGGATAATTGGCATGGGGTCATAATCTCTCTTACAGGTTTCCTGAGAGCAGAGATGGAAAACAGGTATGACCTCAACTCGGAGCATCTCTTCAAACTGTGAACTCCACAGATTTCAAACTGATGGTCAAATGTGTCCCCCAGGTGGGACAAACACACTGAAACTACCCGGTCACAGTTAAAAACCCAACTGCAGTTCCTAATCCAGGGCCCCTCAAATTGTGTCCACCAAGTATTCACCTAGCTTTTCTTCTTCCTTTCACCTAAACACCTTTGGTCACACAATGCCTTAAGTGACTGCAAAGGTATTAAAAATGCAGCATTACTTTAAAGCGAGTATCAGAATAATTTTAAGCACAGAAATGGAACTAGGAATGTAATCATGAGCAGGTGTTTCAAATGGCCTCATGCAAAAAGTAATATCCATCCATCTCGGCACTAATGAAACCATAAAGAAGCAGCTTTTGAAAGATGATGGTTTCCTTTAAAGGACTGTAAAACTGGATGTGGTGAAGAATTCCTTCTAGGAGTGTTACATCTGGCTAATGAATAAAATGGACTGTGGTGCATTCCTCAAGCGCAGAAGGGAGAGACAGGCAAAAATGATGACAGTGGTGTGTTTATTAAATTGGGATGCTGGCAGGAAAGGGAGTTTTCTGCCTTATGAATTATACCACGGACAGTTTGTGGCCCATGGAAAAAATCAGGCAATTGGCTGATAATTTGTGTGGTAGTATTCTCAAAGAATCCTGCTGACCTCGCAAACTGGAAAGTGGAGCGAAGAAAACAGGTAAAGAGTTTAACTAGAGTAGATTAGAGAAAGTGAACCCTGGTGACTGGTATCCAGTAGAGTCTCAGTCACTGATCCTTGGATGGATGGCTGTTGGATGGATGAATGGCTGATGCACACATAGATGGATTTGTTACACAGACGTACAGCCCAGAAATGTCTAGACATGCACCTAACCCATCATATGTTTCTGCTGAGTAGTGTTCACTCCCCCTGGAAATAAAATTTTATCTGGTTTCCTCCAGTCCTCTCATAGGCTTCACTGATTTGCCCTGTCAAGATTAATACGATTCCTCCCTACCAAAGTCTACCCCCCCGAAAGCAAGCTCTATCAAATGGCAATGAAGGGAGAGCTGAGAACAAGATACAGAAGGGACATATTTGGCCTGTGCATCACCTTCAGAATGCACTTCTGATTTAGATTTTGGACCTCCTTTCGAACAGAAATCCAACAGTGCACCAGCAGGTTCTCATGGTCTTTTCTGATTTTCCCTATGGCCTGCCATTTCCTTATTTTGTAATCACATGGTAGTTTAACATGAAGCAGAGTTAGAGGTCTCTTTCTCCTCACAACCTGAAACAAAATTTATCAACCATTCCGGAGCCCTGCAACAAAATAGAGGGGGCCTCTAAGAGATCTCCCAGTCTTTACATACTCAGAATCTTATTTGGAGGAGTAAAAACACCAGAGGATCAATATTGATCAAAAGAACATTCAGGATTTGAAATAGTAGAAACTATGGTGAAGTGGAAGAAAGAAACCAAATCAATTCACAGTTAAAGGAGCAATGTCAACCAATGAAAATGATTCGCCTACCATGTTCCAGATAAGAGGGCGTACCTTCCGAGGGGTCAAGCCTCCGAGCCCTCCGCCCATGCTTCGAGTTATTATGAACAAACATGTTATCAGAGACTGCCAGGACATGGCCATCCACGTTGACTGTTGTAGACACCACGACCTAGAGACATGAGAGAAAAATGAATGAACATTTTAATATAAAAGCATGGTGGGTAATAAACTCAAGTTAAATAAATAACAGCTGGGAGCTGAAGAAAATTGCAGAGCTATTTCACATAATAACTGGTGCTTATGCTGTACAAGTCTAACAAGAGAAGCTATTGATGAGTGGGTCTTTGGCATGGAACGCTTTTGATGCAGTTTTAAGTAAAATTGCACAGTTTATAGTTATACAGCAGAAGGTACACTGTTAACCATAATTTTAACAAGAGGATCTTTATTAGCATATTTTTTTACACAAGGGTGGTTGTGTTTCACCTAAATTACCCTTCAGTTTAGACGCCGAAGCAGATATCACAGTTGATCATGCAAATAAAAGTCTTTTGAATCTTTAAAATATTTCCTCCCCACTGTGTCAGGGTGAAGAGGATAGAGAAATGAAAGACACGGTGCAGTGAGAGCTGAGATGCATTTTTCTTCTTGGGTATCTCACTGAGATTTCTTGTACTGTTTTCTTCCGATGTTAGTTTGATTAATCAGACCGAAATCCCCCGCCTCAAAAAATCCCTTTTAATTAAGGGTCTTAGATCTGTTGCAAAGAAATAAAAAATTGTGGGAGTGGTCCAAGGCATCATTCGGAGACCCAACCCAGCTCATAAAGTGATTCTCCGTCAGGTTTGCCAGAAGGGACCAACGCAAAGTGCATCAGAGAACTCTGACCAAAACAATGAGGAGAAATGACCTACACTTCTCTTTATATGAAATGGGGAAGGGGATTAACACTGAAACCCACGGAGATATGTTTATTCATGTGACCTCTTACAACCAAATATAATAATTGTCTGTAATTGCAGCCTCAGCTCCCACCTCATGCTTTGACACGAGAAACATCAATCAGCCAGCTCCCGTTTAATCCACCTATTATGTTGACTAATTAACTTTGCCCAACAGTTTATTTCTTCCTCCATTATCAGCCCCTGTCAGCCGCAAGCACCCCGCAGCATAGGGGAAACCTCCGGTTCTTTGATTGATCACCGATAGATTGACATGCAGATTAATTTAATTAGAATCACCTCACTTGAGAAATGAAAGACAATGGCAAGAGGGCTAATAGATCTGCTCTCATAATGAGGCAAGCCTCCAGAGCGAAGGCTGAGGATTTCTGATTTATTTTGTTCAATTCCCCAGTTGCTTGGGAAAGATTCTAGCTTTAATTGTTCTTGGTTTTGAGAGGCATTAACCTCTGAAGAGGTGAACTGCTTTACAAAGGTTAGCACAAACTGAGGCCTCGGTTTCCGAGGAAGCCTATTCTCCCAGTTGGTTAAAAGGGGCCCTCACTTCTACAGTCTTGTGTAACACAGTGGTTTTATCGCCTGATGCACCCTGAAAAATGCCAAGACTTGGCCCCTGCCTGGCAGAGCGCTCCCCTCTTTGAACCCAGTCCTCACCAAGCACGCCATGTGTAAAAAGTCCACTGTCCCTCGGGCTTACCCAATGCACCCTGGAAGTATAAGGCCCTTCTCAGAGTCCCAGAGACGGCAATGAACTGAAAAATGTGAACGCACGGCTCACACTATATCACTGAGCTGATTTTCTTTTCTAAATCTGTTTTATTAAAATGCATAGTAAATAATGGAAGGTGGTCTCCTAAGTCACTGTAAAATCCAAAATTCCATCTAGAACACATCACCCCTGGAAAGACATGGAAGGTTCACGTGGCAGTTTGCAAGGTGGTTCTCCTCTTTATTCATGACTGGCCCACCAGATCTGACAACCTGAGGCTGTTCTGTATGCTCACTCCCATCAAGTGTAGCTTAATTTAAAAGAAAGAGAAAGTGGGGAGGTGGTCTGTTATTTTCCCAAACCATTAAGTGCAGTGGCAGAGTCATTATCACTTAGGGCAACAGAAACTCACTTGCCTTTTTGTTAGGGAGATGATTTCGTAGGACAGTAACAATTATGTAACACAGCTAGGTGTTTCAAAGAAATTTTGATTTACTACAAGACCACATTTGAGTGGTCACTGGAGTCGTTAGCTGAAGATACTATAAAAGGAATCCCCAAACGGTGTCTGTTTCCAGGGTCAGGAAATACAAAGTGGTTATTCTAGAAGTCTGTCTTAAGAGGAAAAGAAAGCAATGACAATTCAGCACGCACCTGTAAGACACAAGCACTGCAAACTTATGGTTTAAAATAGTATCTTTTAAAAACACTGTCATCTAATTCCTAACATTGAATAAAAATGTGCAAAAAACGGTTAAGGGGAGAAAAACTACCCTGTGTATAATTTTCTTTGCTTAGTGAGAGGAGGGCCACATGTATAACAGAGTCACTTATGAGGCCAATCAATCCTGGAGAAAAGATAATACAGAGAATCCTGTGCCAGTGTGTCTTGAAAATTCATAGAACAACCTCACTACCCCAAAATAATCTCTCCCATTCCGATCTGAAATGATCAAGAGAGATTTAAATAAAATATGCATGTTAATTCACAGAGCAGTTTGTAAATTAAAAGAAAAAAATCTGTGAGATATAAAAGGCATACTGAAGATTCCTTTAAAATTAGGCCAATGGTAGAAGGGGAGAGGACCTTTCTAGCTCAACACAGATTAATGAGGTGCTGACACACGCCTGCAGTCAAGGGGACAGACAGGCCTGCCAAATGTGCAGCCTTCCCGAATTTTGTCAATAAAACACAGCTTGAATTTTGGACACATGAACATAGAAAATTATTTCACCTTTGGATTCAACCACCTCTTTCCTCTTTATCACCCTTTTCACTCCTCTGTCCCAAGAATGACAGGATGCAACTCTGAAGAGCAGGTATGTTTACAGTTGTACCGTGTCTGTTAGAATTAAACTTCTACTTTCTAGAACTGCACTGAGCAATCCAGTACAAACATGTGGCTATTTACATTTAAACTAAGTAAAATTTAAAATTCTACTTCTTAGTCTCAACAGCCACTTTCCAAAGGCTCAGTAGCCACTGATGGTGGGAGGCTGCTGCAGCGGACAAAGCATTTCCTTCCTTACAGAGTGCTCCATTGGCCCTGGAATGACTTTGAAATAACTGTGTCAATTTATTTATAAGGATAAGCTGCATCTCAAGCAGTATCTCCTGAAATACATACTGGACCAGTACACAGGTTTAGGATTGTGTACATATATAGTTTTGTTGCTGTATTTTTTTAGAACCAAATTTCTCCTGGAGGACTGAGCTTTTTAATATAATAATTCAGAAACATGCTAGTCAATAGGTAGCATATTCCATGGTACCTTTTATCTGACTCCCACCCGCTAGGTGAGGGCATTTGGTGGGAGGGATAAAAATGACAGAAGAGAAATCTCTGGCCACCTGAAGAGTTTCGAGATTTTACACTAATATTTTCAATCTCATGACTCATTATTTGTGATTCAGAATCTGCTCTGTTGTGTACTTTCCTGGATCTAGATATCCCTAAAGGTTATTATTTCTATCATCTCCCTGCCATCTAGAATTTGAAAGAATCAGACACAAAATGAACAGTAATTCATGGCTCCCTAGATTTCTTAGTGGATGTGACTCTGGCCAGGTAAACTTTTCTCAGTCCCAGTGTCCCCGACTCTCAGATTGGAAGTAATATTGGCATCTAACTCCTAAAATTACTGTGAGGCTGAGTTCATCAACATGGCATGCTAGTTCTTGGTCCATATGAAAAGCTCATAAAAATCAGTAGCAGTAGTGGGGTAGCTGTCGTTTTGTAAGTGATGTCAAACAAAAAGTTCAAAAGTGCTGTGATGATAACTAAAGCATTGTCTCTTGAAGAACCCAGCACAGTTATTTAAGAACAGAGTATTTCTCCTATGCTCACCAATCAATGAAATCTTCCAGTATAAAAGACTTTTGTCCTCCTAGCACACTATCATACAACCTAGGCCTCTTCTGAATTGCTGTTCTCACTGATTTGAGTAATTTTGCTTTTTAGGATGTTTCTCCACCTTAGGCTGTTATGTTTTAGACTTAAAACTGAAAGAATCCTTGCTGCTTTGAAAACAGTCTTTAAATTAGACATCTTGTCATTTTTATTCTACTTTTCCCGGTAGCTCATGTCAGTGTAGCTTTTGGAGGAGTTTTGTGAAGGATTCATTTTTTCCTTCCCATCATTTCGTAGGCTGTCCCTCTCCCCTTGAGGTCACACAGGAAGCCTTGTATATCCTAACTACAATGTCAGAATTCAAGGACTATAACCTCTCGTAAGCATATTTTCCAACCATGTAAGTGGCTAAACCAATCAGGAGCACAAAATTACATTGAGGAGCAACCCATGTGGAAGAAGGGGTTACAGCAAAAGCAACCAAAAGACTTAAAATTTGCATCTTTGCATATTTCCCAACAGATATAGAACAGAGGAAAGATTAGACTCCATAAGATTTTTGGTCTTTAATTTTATAATATTTTGTCAGTAAGTGCCTCCCTCCAGAAAATAACCACTTCAGCGAGTTAATTTTGAGTAATTATTAACAAATTATAAATCTTGGTTTTCAGTGCTTACATATGGAAACTTGGTAGAAGGAACTAAGTAGTAAAGCTGCTTTGTTCTGTTGCTGCTTTACCTCTGAATTCAGCTCATTTTATTTTTGCATTAATCCAGAGACCTTGATAATAAGTCTTTAAAAGGAGTAACTTTAAGTATGTGAAATAAATAGCCACTGAGCAACATTCCATGGATTGGTACTCAGCAATTAAAAAATATAAACTATTGATACATCTGTTTTAAACTTCAAAGAAATATGTAGAGTGAAAATAACCAATTCTAAGAGATCACATGAGGCATGTGAAAGACTGAACTGTGTACCCAACACAAAAATTCAAAGGTAAATCCCTTATCCCCAGAATTTTAGAATGTGGCTGCACTTTGAGACAGGACTTTAATGACTTCAAAACAATGCCATTGTTTTGAATCCAATTTCCCAGGGTTCTGATAAGAGGAGGCAATTTCATCACATGGGAAATGGGTAAGC